AGGAGGGTTGGACTAGATGACCCACAGAGGTCCCTTCCAACCCCTACTATTCTGTGATTCTGTGATTCTGTGAAGTACCATCTCGGCCCGGGGTGACCGTCCCACGACCCTCCAGCTGCCCGGAACACCACGTTTCTGTTTTGCAGGAAAAAATCAGGTTTGCTTTTCTCTTCCCAGTCTGGAATGGGAACAAATAGTTTTGAAATTTCCTTCTCAGTTTCCTTTCCTCTCCTGTTTTTATACTTTTCACATGATTTCATGACATAATGGGACAAAGCAGTTTAGATGTTTGTCCCACTTTTTATTTGGGAAATGATTAAAAGCAGCTGCTCCTCAGCCCTAAATAAACCAGCTTATCAAGACGTCTGCTGATGGGCTTGGGATGACACGCTGAGTTGGGCTGTCGCACTGCAAGCTGCCTGTTTGCAGGTGTGTGTATAGATTTACATGTGTACTCATGTATGTGCACGTATATGTGTAGGCATATAGCTAGTACTGCCCTCGACGAGCATAAAATAGGAACTAAACGAAGGAGACTTTCAGCTCATTTGCTGGGTTACCCGGCAGTGTGCCAGCAGCAGAAGATCAGTGTGGCAGAGTAAAGAGAATAGAAACCATCTCACTTACAACCCAAATGTCAGACCGCGCTGAGCTGCATATTTTCTCAGCCAGAATCACTTTCCACTGAAATGCATTTCCTCTGGGAATCCTTTATTTTTTTTTAAATTGAGATCTTTTTGCCCTCATTCCCACATTGACCTTTTCAGCAAAAAATGTTGGAGTGGCAGCAGAGGGGAAGAGAGCTGAGACGGTGGGGTTTGTGTCCCGCTTCAGTTTGCTTGGAGGGGTGCTGCGAGTGTTAAAGGGTCAAATATTTCACAGCAGTGTTTTGTGAGTCGCTCTGGCACTGGGGCAGGGGTCGAGCGGTATTTTCTCTGCTCTTGACCCCCGAGGGCTGGCATGTCCTGGCTTCCTCCAGGACAAGCAAGATGCTCTGGGGTGGGAGCACTGCTCCTGCGAGGATCCTCGACGAGCTTTGTCTCTCTGGCAGATTGACCTCCGGGACCAGAAGAAGGTGACTGGCATCATCACGCAAGGAGCCCGTGACTTTGGGCACATCCAGTACGTGGCAGCCTACAAAGTGGCCTACAGTGACAATGGCACGTCCTGGACCCTCTACCACGACGGCCAGACAAACAGCACCAAGGTGTGTGGGGCAGGGCAAGGTGGGCAGCGACGTCCTGGGGCTCGGGGATGCCGCCGTGGGGAGGGATGGGATGGCGACACGGGGGTCCCGGTGGTGCTGACACCTTCCTTTCCCCCCCTTAGATCTTCCATGGTAACAGCGACAACTACTCGCACAAGAAGAACGTGTTCGACGTGCCCTTCTATGCCCGCTTCGTCCGCATCCTGCCCGTGGCCTGGCACAACCGCATCACCCTGCGCGTGGAGCTGCTGGGCTGCGACGAGTAGGCGCCCAGGGAGAAGGACGGGGCTGCT